TTACTAATCAGGTTGAGTCTTAATCTGCAAGAAATATGTTCTTATTTTGCCTCTTCTTGACTATTTTTAATCAATCATTTAAACATGTTTTAATGAAGGGCCAATCATAAGCAGAACAGAAGCTCAATTTCCTGTGTTTATATACACAGTGTTGACTTTATTATTATTAAAAAAAGAATAGGCCTTGTCTTATGAAACCAAATTGTTATGGGAATAATAAATATTAGTTTAGCTATTTGGAACAATGTGCTTGGAGAGAAAGGGGAGAGGAGAGAGGGAGGGAGGGAGAGAGAGAGAGGGGAGAGAGAGAGAGAGAGACAGAGACAGAGACAGAGACAGAGAGAGAGAGAATGGAAATGCATTCATCAAATCTTTAATTAAATCACCAAGGTAGATCAAATCTCAGAACATCATGTATTTCTTTTAAAAAATGCAAATTTCCAATTGCCATTTTTTAAACTGATGCATTAACACCATTGATAGGTGGAGTTTTCAAGAAGCCATATTTCAAAGTCTGACAGATGAGTTTAGAGCAAAGGCTTATTAGACTAGGATTAGACAGATTTCAAGATTGCAAGGATATCTCTTATTTTCCACCACACTTCCCAGACTACTCGCTTGAGTTTCATTCAGAGCTTACAGATAAGTCGTGGTTTCTTGAAATATGGATTCCTGAATAAATCAAAGTTGACTAGTTCATACAACATGCTGAGTGGCTTAAACGATGGTTGCATTGTAGAACCTGGAATGACTGGTTTATACAACATGTTATGTCAAAACTGAACAAACTTCATTTTGACTTAACATGTAGAATGATGTATCCTTGGACAAGTTTCAGCATTCTCCTATGAAACTCATTCCCAGTATTCATTGTTCCCTTTCTTTTTTCAGATGATTCTTAATATGGAATCTATAAGCTCTTATGGGGAAGATCTCTGCAGTATCCATTTGTCCGATATTGACCTCCCTTGAAATTAATTAATATTTACAGACAATAAAGCTATAAATATCATCTCTCCTAGTCTCGGTTATATTAGTTTCCCAAATAAGCATCCATCATCTGTCCCAATGCAAACAGTGATTATTTCACTTGTGCTAAGTCATAACATGGCTTGTTTAGATTTGGCTTAGTGGCTGTATTTTTATGACATGCTTAACTGAGTCACTTAAAGCCCAGCAAGTTAGGCAAAACCATTACCCTGATATTTAAATTCTGACAAATGGAGATTAACTTGTTATTTCCCTCAATATATGTTCTATCATTAAATAAGACAG